TTATTATTATTATTATTTATAATCCACCACCATCTCCCCAAAGGGGACTCAGGGCGGCTAACATGAGGCCAATCCCAAAAATAATACAGCATAATTAGATGCAAAACAACAGAAAAATTACATCACAACAGAATACATGAAATAACAACATAAAATAAGATGTCAATGCCTTGGTCCTTGCATTGCTGGCTGCTACTTCCTGGCAGATGTCAGGTAATGCAATACCAGCTAAACAGTGCAATTTCTCCAGTGGTGTGGGCCGTAGACATCCTGTGATAATGTGGCATATTTCATTAAGAGCCACATCCCCTGTTTTAACGTGGTGAGATGTTTTCCATACTGGGCACGCGTATTCAGCAACAGAGTTACAAAGCGCAAGGGCAGATGTCTTCACTGTGTCTGATTGTGATCCCCAGGTTGTCCCAGTTAGCTTTCATACAATATTATATCTAACACCCACTTTTTACTTGATATTCAAGCAGTGCTTCTTATAAGTCAGAGCACAGTCCAAAGTGACTCCCAGATATTTTGGTATATACTCCCAGGTAGACTTGGGTTCAAATACATCCCAAGTTGGTTAAGATATAGAGAATGGAAAAACTCTGTATTTACGCACTTTTATTTTATCAGGGACAGGAAGGGAACATTTTCCAGTCAGAAAAGAATGGCCAACAAACCAGTTTTTGAAATGAATTTGCACAGGGATTACTGAAGGAGTGGCTTGCAGATTCATGTTCAAGAGTGCCACGTGCAACAAAAATGACTTATATGTGTGAATGAGCTATTGGAGAGTGAATGCCACAGATAGAACTTTGATTCTGCTATCTCTGTGTTTTGAGTGGAATTCATTCGTATATGGAAAACACGTGGAGTGAACTTGTGAACTTACTTTGGATGACCTGAAACTATATCTATGGGAAGAGAATACATTTCAGTGGTCATTAGATGATATACACATTGTTACTCTGAGCTTCTGTAAAGGCCCAATGCTCCAGTTGTCAAGTAATGGACATGCATGTGTGAATCTGCTTTTATTCCACTTTGTGGCCCTGAAACAACATTCTTTGTTGGCAATGTTTGAGGGAAACTTTGGAAAGAGATTCCTACATTCCCTCCCTGTACTTGATAGGAATTCTTCTTATCAAGTAGCACATGCATTTGTTTTTCTTTCCCCTTAACAGCAACATTCTTGTTTAGGTTTCAAGCAAGGCATTCCACTATTATCCAAACCCACATCTGCTCCCTCTTCTTTACAACTCTTAGTCTACATTTTGTTGCTGTAAAGCATCCAAGATATTTTTCCATGTTAGGAGCAACTTGAGAAACTGCAAGTCGCTTCTGGTGTGAGAGAATTGGCCATCTGCAAGGACGTTGCCTAGGGGACACCCTGATGATTTGCCATCCTGTGGGAGGCTTCTCTCACGTCCGTGCATAAGAAGCTGGAGCTGACAGATGGGAGCTCACCCTGCTCCCAAGATTCGAACCGCCAACCTTTTAATCAGCAGTCCTGCCAGCACAAGGGTTTAACCCATTGCACCACTGGGGGCTCCTAAGCATCCAAGATGTCATTGGGATTTTTCTTTGGTCTCTTTCGCT